CTTTTCTTCTTCTTCTATTTCTTTGACAATCTTTGTCCAAAACCTTTTATTATATATAAGTTTGGCCATACTTTGATTTTATTTTATAAATTTTCTCCAAAATCTATTTTTTTTTTAATTTTCCTCATCTTATTTTTTACAAATTTATTTTCTTTATCATTTTGAAAAACTAGTTTTTTATTTTACAACTCCTATCATATATTTTTTTTCACAACTTTGTTTTTGAAGAAATGGTTTTGATAATTTGTTTTTATCCATGGTTTTAAAATTTCTTCATTTTACATTTTTGTTTTTATGCAATTCTTTTAAATTGATTGTACATACTTGTTACCTTTTGAGACCGTTTTATGATATTTATAAATATTAGTTTTCATGTAATGTTAAAAAAAACATATCACAAACAAATGCATTGTTATGTATAATAAAACTATCTTTTGAAAATTATTAAAAAAAATAAAAATCTGATTCAGTGTCCTTATGGCAGTTAAGAAATTGAATATGAGTTCTTATTTTATTACTTTTTTTTTGACCGATATTTAAACTATATATGTCATATTGATTGGTGGTGACGCAATTTTTTTGGTTTCGTTGGTCTAAACTAATTTTAGAATAAATGCATGACCTATATCCAACTGTTAAATATGAGGTCGATCTAATTTAAAGTCTAACTTCAATCTTCAAAGCTTATACCAACCACCAACAATTACAAATAATTGTTCAAATTAGTAAAGACAATAAATCATACCTTTTAAACAGGGAAATTGCGGCTGAAGAACTTGAAACCCGAGTGCGAAAAACCATCGTCGGTATTTCATCAGCTAAATCCATCGAAAACGATATATACATATCGGATTCAACCGCAAAATCAACGATCCGAACCTCCATGTCAATTAATCAGCGATTTCCTTTTTGTAAAATTGAATAAGAACTTGAAAAAGGTCACAGAGAAATGTAAATAGAAGCTGATTCGGTTGCTGGCAAGCGGAAAAAAAAAACACGTTCACGGAACAATGGCTAGTTGGCTACAATATTCGCAAAGCTCATATCCATGGCGGCGGAGAAACAAACCCTAATCGCTACACATGATTTTGAAAGAAAAAAAAAGAGGATAGAAATATACCTTTAAACCATATGAAATTACCATATAATCCTCCAGGGATCTTTAAAATTTTACCTGACGTAATGCAAGGGATGCATTTTATATCGGTTAAAAATGAGAGACTTTTTCGTATTTTATTAAATTGTGTAATATAATTTTTCAAACGATTAATTTAACAGTTATTAAAATCCAAGATAGTGAAACTCTTTTTACTGTACAATATTTTATAGCAAAAAAAATACAAATAAAAAATTAAGAAATTAACTAAAATACTAAAAAAGTTTGATATATATATATATATATATATATATATATATATATATTATATATATATATATATATATATATATATATAGAAAAGTTCAATAGAGAACCATTATTAATCAAAGAACCAAGAAACCAATCCAAAGCGTCGGAATTTAAAGCGATCAACGGCAAAAAGAAATGTTGTAAAATCTTATAATGGTCGCACATGTACCGGATTATAACAAAATCACTTCTTTTTTTCATTTAAAATTTTTTTTAGGCTAAGTTTTTTATCGAAAAAAAAAACCGAATATACCGTTGTTCACGATTTTTCGTCCTCTTTCCATAGAGATTCATGATAATATATAAAAAACGAACTTTTTTTTCGAAAAAAACCCACTTAATTTTCTTAGTTTTTTCAATATTTAAGTTTATTTTTATAAAAAAAAAACTAATTATACCAAAAATATTAATTTTTTGTACTCTATTAATAAACATCAACACCGATTAAAAAAAAACAAAAAAAAAACAAAAAAAAAACCTCGAACAGTATAGATTCACACTGTGAATCTAAACTGTAAATATTTTAATTTTTAACATTCACAATATGAAAAATCTCGAACAGTTCAGATTCACATTGTGAATCTGAATTACTATTATGCACACTGTGAATCTAAGAAGGTTCACAAAAAAAAAAAAAAAAAAAAAACCTCGATCAGTGTAGATTCACACTGTGAATCTAAACTGTAAATATTTCAAATTTTAACATTCACAATGTGAAAAAGCTCCGATCAGTTCAGATTCACACTGTGAATCTGACTTATTATTATGCACACTGTGAATCTGAGGAGGTTCACAATATGAATCTGAACATGTTTATAATATGAATCTGAACAGGTTCACAATGTGAATTTGAACTGAAATATCGTTTTTTTTAACATGAATATGAATTTATGTTTAAAAAGTAAAAAAATATGAATTTTGATATATTTATTAAATTTTTTTCTATAAAAAATAGACCTTAATTTTTTTCATCAAAGAAAATGAAGTGAGTTTTTTTTGAAAAAAAAAAGTTCGTTTTTTATATATCATCATGGATCTCTATGGAAAAAGGACGAAAAATCGTGAACAGCAGTATACTCGGTTTTTTTTTTTATAAAAAACATGGCCTAAAAAAAATTTTAAACGAAAAAAAGTGGTGAATTTTTTTTGTAAAGGGTGGATTTTATGGTATAATCTGGTGTGTGTGCGTCCAATGTGAAAGTGTACATCTATTTCCTTGGCCGTCGATCGTTATGATTTCCGACGCTCACGATTGGTTCCTTGGTTAATTATGGTTCTCTATTGAACATCACCCTATATATATATATATTATATATATATATATATATATATATATATATATTATATATATATATATATATATATATATATATATATATATATATATAAAAGTTCAATAGAGAACCAATATGAATCAAAGAACCAAAGAACTCATCTTAACCATCTATTTTGTTTTAAGACAAAACTTCAAAAATAGTCCCTATGGTTTTCGAAAATATCAAGTTTAATCCCTAAGTTCAAAAAACCTCACAGATGGTCCCTGTGGTTTCAAAACTTTTAACATTTGGTCATTCCGGTTCACTCCGTTACCATTTACCCGTTAAGTAAGGGGTATTTTTGTCATTTCACTACCCAGGGACTATTTTTGAAGATTTGCCTTATTTAAAAAAAAAGAAAAAAAATATATAATTATTTAATGTTAATGGGCCCCACCCTCTCTCTCTCTCTATCTCTCTCTCTCTCTCTCTCTCTCTCTCTCTCTCTCTCTCTCTCCCCACCGTTCCTACTTCCTACTACCATCACCATTCTTCCACCCCTTTCTTTAAATTGCCGCCGGATTCCATTCTTTTATTTGATCTGAAACAGATTTCCATGGGCCCTTTTTATTATGAATACAAATTCGATAGGTGATGAACACTATGGTCGTTCTTTTCTCCTTTCCTAAGTATAATGGTTATAATTCCCAGATCAACACTATAGACTGGTTTAGTGTCAAGTGTAATAGTGGTGTGGAATGAAGTTGGATATAACAAAGGAAAAGCTGGTGGAACAGGGCAATGTTTTGCTTCTGTCATTTTATCGAACACTTTATGTGCGTAGCTCGGTTGATAATTTATAATGAATGAATGCAAAATGATTCATCACATCAGATCTGAAAGCTTGTCATACTTGTAACTCTTACAGTTGTTATAGCTCTTAATCACATCAGATCTGCATTCGGATCTCTTACTCTCCTCCTTCGGCTTCTCCATCACCGGAGACATAACAGTTTCGCGGTGGCGATACCTGCCTCCACCGCATCTCATTGTAGCAATGATTCTACGACGACATGACGACCAAAACTTGAAATTCCCACCACCAACTCCAGCGGTGGTGGGGTGATGGTCTAGAACAATTGATCCCAAATTGTTTTGATAAAGCTTTCCCATTTGATTTGACACCCTTTACTCTAAACCCATGAAATCAATCGTACATCACCTATGAACACCTTTTTTATAAACACGACCTTTCGTAAAACCTTCACACACACACATAGAGATGAGAGAACTAGAGAAGTAGCAGAGGAGTAAATGTTGAGAGGTGAAGCTTCTGAAAGGAGGGACTATAGTCCTGTGTGTGTTTGTGTAAGAGAGAGAGAGAGAGAGAGAGAGGGGGGGTGGGACCCATTAATATTAAATAATTATATTTTTTTTTCTTTTTTTTTAAATAAGGCAAATCTTCAAAAATAGTCCCTGGGTAGTGAATTGACAAAAATACCCCTTACTTAACGGCTAAATGGTAACGGAGTGAGCTGGAAGGACCAAATGTTAAAAATTTTGAAACCACAGGGACCATCTGTGAGGTTTTTTGAACTTAGGGATTAAACTTGATATTTTCGAAAACCACAGGGACCATTTTTGAAGTTTTGTCTTGTTTTAATCTTGGGCATTAATCCATAATTAACCAAAAAAAGCACGGAGAGGCATTTTGGTAAGTTCAGCGTCTCATTTAACATCCTGTTTGTCTCCGTTAGCGTCTTCTAATTTCAGCGTCTTCTGTTACTGTCCTTCATCTTCTAACACTACACTGATCGATCCAAAATCTCGCTTGTTGTTCGAAATCTCAACCTTTTTCATCCAATTTACTAATACTTTCTTCAGATTTCAGCTAATAATCAGGTATTATCTTTCGTTTATGATTATTAGGTCAATTATGGACTTTGATTTTACCGTTTTTCTTCCGATGCATTGTTATTGTAATCGTCTGATTGTAAAATTCTCTTGATTTTACCGTTTAATTTTCAAATTGTTATGTTTTTATTGTTAATTTGCTAATTTTATGTCGTATGTTGAGTATACTGTTTATTATTCGATCGTTTTTGTAATCATTCGTCTATAATGCATATTCGACATTTAGATAATCAATTATATCTTGTGCATCTTCTGACATTTAAGTTTTTTCCAAACTTTTAGTGATTTTGAGAATCTTATCTTATCTTGTGCATATATTTAAAATTTTTGTGATTATCCTGTTTATTTGTTTCCTTTTTTGTATAATTATCAATTCTAAATTTCTAATCTGTATATAAACTCCAGGTCATCGACGATTCATTATGAGTTCTGTGAATTCTTGTTCAGATTTGCATTCAACTATTAATGAACAATCACGTAAGTTTTTTTTCTTAATATAAATTTCACATTTTATATATAATGTAATAAAATAGATGTTTTGTTTGGTTTTGCAGTTCATGATCAATCATCTTCAAGTATGACTATTGATCATTCAAATAGCATTAATTCTTGTTATAGTTTTAATTTTGAGCTCTACAATACTGAAACTTTTAAGCTTGTTCCTTATGATAAGTTGATACATAAAAAGACTTTCAAAGGATTGTTGTTTGATTCGTTGGACATTGGTCTTGACTTTTACAAGACTTATGGTAAAGAATCTGGTTTTGATGTGAATATATCAAGTAAAAAAAGATACAATGATGGCACAATTCGTATTAGATATTCGACATGTAGTAGATATGGTTTCACAGAGTCATTCAAGAATGAAAATATTAATGTGAAATTTTCAGATGTTAACGGAAGGAGAACTTCTTCTAAGAAGAACAGATGCCCTGCTGTTTCAAAGTTCAAGAATCTCCGATGTTCTTTAATGTTCTACATTTATGTGTTTGTTGAAGATCACAACCATGAACTTGTTGCTCAAGATCAGTTGCACTTATTAAGGATTAATAGGACAATGGATTTTCTTGATGAATCCTTTATACATAAGGTTGGTACTTGTAACATTGGTGCTTCAAAAGCTTATAACTTGGTGAGTAGTATGAAGGGTGGCTTTGATTCTAGTGGAGGTACTGTAGTTGACTTTAAAAATTTTCATAGAGATTTGAATTCTAAAATTGGTGTCAAAGATTCCCAAATGGTTGTGGATATATTGACAAACAGAAAATTGTGTTTCTCTAATTTTTCATTTGAGGTCCAAAAAGATGTTAATGATCATCTTACTGGACTTTTTTGGGCTGATGATACTTCGAAAGCTAACTATAAGGAATTTGGAGATGTAGTATCTTTTGATGCTACTTATCAGACAAACAAGTAATTCCTAATCCTTATTTGTTCTTTTTATGATATTTGTTCTTTTTAATAATACTTATAAAAAAAATCCAGGTATTCTATGGTATTTGTTCTTTTTACTTGAGTTGACTACCACAAGCGTTGTGTTACTTTTGCTGCTGATTTACTAGCTTGTGAGACAGCAGATGCATATGTGTGGTTGCTTGAAGTGTTTCGTAAAGCATTTGTCAAGCCACCCATGATGATTGTAACATATCAGGATTCATCAATGAAGAAAGCTGTTAATTTTGTTTTTCCTGAATCGAACCATAGACTATGCATGTGGCACATCACTCAAAAACTTGAGGAAAAGGTATATTCTTTGTTTCTTGATTCCTATATATGTTTATAACCATATAGATCATAAAGCACATTGTGAATTCACAATGTAAATTTGCATATAATGAAAGGAACAAATCTAAATCATAAATCACACTGTGAATTCATAATGTTAAATAAATGTTATGTTACTACGAATTACATCAAATATTCAACATATGTAATGATTCTTATGTGTTTCTTTTTTTTAGATTCCTATTGATGTTTATAACCATCCAGACTTCCAGAAGACATTTTTTGATATTATATGTAATCTTCAATGTTCTCCACAAGATTTTTAAAGTTCGTGGTCAACAATGTTAGATAAGTTTCATCTAAAAGAAGATGCTGGTTAAGGTCTATTTTTAAAATAAGGGATTTATGGATTCCGGCTTTTATGAGAGATCTTGAACTTTCTGGTTTGATGCGAACTACTTCAAGATCAGAGAGTCTGAATTATGCTTTCTCACATTTTTTGCATCATAAATCAAATTTGGTGAAGTTCATGATGTCGTTTGATAGTGCAATGGAGAAGCAAAGGCATCATCAATCTTTATTAGATTATCAGTCCACAACTACTACCCCCAAGCTAAGGACTCCTTTGGCTATTGAAAAGCATGCATCGAAAATTTATACACATAATATTTCTTGGACATTCAGAAAGAGTTATACAAATCTGTGTTTTATTGTGTTCAAGAATCTGTAGTTATTGAAGATGAAAGCGAAGTTTATGTTTTGAGAGATAAGAAGAAAAAAAAGTTGACTGATAAAAATGTGAATGAGGATGAAGATTCTGATGGTTTTTATCGAAATAGTCTTCCTTCTCATTGTCCTAATACTCGTTACAAGGTATGTCTATTTGTCCTAATACAATTTATTAAATATAAAATGTAGTTTAAAAATTCACATTGTGAATGTAGGATGTTTTGCTAATTTACAGTGTGAATTTTTATAGAGTTATAAAATTTTAGATTAGTATGGAATATGTATTTTTTTTTGTGAATTTGATTTGATGTACATATTTATATTATAGTATTATGATTTCTAATGTCCCGTTGATTAATAATGTGAATCGATGTTAATTTGTATAATTTTTATCGAATTGTATGAGATAGAATTTCTTATTCACATATTAATTTGCTTATTAATGATAATTTTTGTAGGTTGTATTTAGTAGAAGGGGTGATAGCATTAGCATCAGTTGTAGCTGCATGCGTTTTGTCCAGGAAGGATTGTTACATTACTAGAAAACAGCCTTTTACGACGCGCAATGCACGTCGTAAAACGCTCAGACGACGCGCAAATGCGCGTCAAGAAAGGCCCTGTCATAACGAGAGACGACGCGCTTTTGCGTGTCGTCTATTTACGACGCGCTCTTACGACACGCAATGTGTGTCAAGAAAGGCCATGTCATAAAGAAGACGACACGCATTTGCGTGTCGTAACCTTACGACGCACATTTACGACGCGCATTGCGTATCATTAAAGCTCCTGTTATAAAGAAAGATGACACACATTTTTGCGTGTCATAAAGTTAAATGTTTTAAAAATTATATATTTTGATAGATTTACTAATTTTCAAATTAAATAATACATTAAAAATCTCATAATACAAAATAAAGTACCATAAATAACAAAGATAATACATTTCACTAATATGTCAAATACAAATAATTATTTCAATAGTGAGTAAATGTTATAAAAAAATGAACTCAAGAGAAGCAGAATTTATATACAATTGCATTATCTAGCTTACTATGTGCCAACAACTCTCCGTGTGTTTGCTTTTGCTACCAATTCTATATGGCCATCAAAGATTCAAAATACAGAACATATAATATAACTGAAAAATAGAAAGAAAATGAAAGACATGGAGTACTATTTGGATCCTCCTCGTTCTGTGATCCCTAACTAGTATTTTGGTATGAAGCTGCAAGTAAAAAAAAGTTAAAAACTCAAATCAAGTCAAAGGTAAACCAAGTGATTTCAGAATTTTTATCATATTAAGTTATCCCTTCTGCGTAGGGTAAAAAAGAAATACATATATACATAGCTTCACTGATTAAATCATGTTTTCATTTAATTCAAAAAGAAAAACGATGGCAACAGGGTACCAAATCAAGTATAATCAATAAATCCAATCATACCAGTTGCTTCAGTCAAATCCTAATATACAAGGAAAACAAAAAATCAATAGGAAAACTGGTAGATTTTGAGACCAATTAGACAAAACGGTGGCAACAGGGTACCAAATCGGCGTTCCAAAAATGCAAAATTGGCGACCCAAACTCCAAATTGGCGATCGTATTGGACCGATTCCGATCGCCAAAAACATGTTACAGCAATCGATTTTCCCATTTAGTGGGATCGTGGAGTTTCCGTACCGAAGTACGTTTCCGCCAACGATCGAAACAATAACATACCGCGATTGGGAACAAAACGTTCAGAACGTGGATCATCGCTGATAGAGTGATCCCTGTGACTATGATATTAGCGCATATTAAAGTTATAATCCATCAAGGGAGAAGAAGTTAGGGTTTGGGGGAAGAGAAGTGCTGCTTAGTAAATCTTCATATAGTGGAGGATAGAGATGAGAGAAAACCTGGTGAATAAGGAGAGACGAGAAGGTGGAGGTGTCGATTAGGGGTTGTTCAACTGGTAGCTTCGATTGACGGTTGATGAGTCGTAGTTGACGAACGGCGCTGCAATCGAAAGGAGTAGTAGTCGCTGAACCATTTAGTGTGAGGATCGATTTGGAAGAAATCTCAAACCCTTAACCTTAAACATGATGTGAAACGATTGATCCATAATCATCTTCGTCTCCGCCAATTCCTTGGGCTCACATAATTGGACGATGGTGGTAAATGAAGCGTTCTTGGAGAAAGAAGGTGCATCGCCGCAGTCTGAGGCTAGAAGAGGCAACGAGGATTGGAGGCGTTGGATGTGGGTGAGGACCTGAGGGGTGGAGACGAGGAAGAAGAAGGCGGGGGTTTAAAAAATTTGGGGATTTCATTTTCCCTCTATGGAGACGCGCGTTTCTTAAAAAAAAATATAAAACGACGTTCACAGACGACGCACATTTTACAAAAAGTGCCCTCCGTGTTTTTAAGTTTTTACATTAGACACTAATTTAAGGGCACACAATAATGCGCGACCTAAATCCTTAAATTTTTTGAAGAGATGACACTTTTTTAATGTCGCTCTCTTTTGTGTAACATTAATCAGAGAGCGTCGTGTTTTGCGCGTCCTAAAAGGGTCTTTTTCTTATAGTGTTATGTCGTCATATGTTTTTCATATTAAATATGAAAGAGTATGATGAAATCCATCAAATTTCATTTTGAGGAGATGGGGAAAAGATATCATAGCTGATGGTACTCATATCCTCATAAAGGCAGTAAAAATGAATGTTTGATTCAAGATGCGTATGCTATTCTTCGTTTGTCCATTAACAAGATAGCAAATAATGAGGATGAGTTGGCTAAATATATAAAACAACTTCAGGAGGTTGATAGTGGTATTCCTTTATGTACCTCATCAAGGGCATCTTCGAATAGATCAATTCACATTGAAAAAATTATTGGAGCTGCAGTACCTGATGTTATCAACATTCATAATCCAGAGGGGATAAAAAACAAGGGATGGGCCAGTGGTAAAAGAATCAAGAGCATTAGAGAGAAAGTGATTGAGAAATCTAAAAAGGGTTCTAGGTTGTGCAGTTTATGTCATAAACCAAATCACAATGCTAGGAGTTGCATTTTGAGGTTAAAGAAGTCTGATTTAGAATCTGAGGTTACAGAAGGCTGATTGTTTCTAATTTTTTCTTTTTAAGACTACTAAAATAAGATTTGATTTTTGTAATGATCATTCAATGGTTAGAAATGTTGAAATATTGTTGTTAATTTGGATATTCATTGTTTTAGACTTTATTTCTAATAATAGAATATATTTTTTTCAAATTTAGTGTTTTTTGTTAAAGATATTTTTTTATTGTTAGTTTTTTGAATATTTTCTAATAAAAATTTCATGCTAATGATTTAATTTATGTATATTATTGTTAATCTCATATATAAACTTTTCATGTTAAAGATTGTCTTACTGTAATTTAATTCACATTGTGAATCTCAACTATTAATTGTTCTAATGATCTATATGTACCATAATTCACATTGTTAACCTCACATATAAAATATACATGTTATAATATGTACTGTAATTCACATTGTGAATCTGACATATTAAATTTTCACAAGGTTAACATATAAACAATGTAAATTTTCATATTTTTAATTAAACATGTAATTGTATAACATACATGTAGACATTCACATGAAAATATAAACATCTTTTAAGTATTTAGTAAAGTTCATTATATTTGATATAGAAACTAACATCAAATTGTAACATAACAAGCATGTATATGTTCTTAAAGAAATTAAAGTGCATCTAAACTTATACTAATTATGAATAGAAAACTAAGTTTTAAGTTTTACACTTCTTTTTCCAATCCTTGAAGTACTATATCCTTTCTCCCCTTTTTTGCCATCCCTTGTCGAGCAAATCTTTTATTTCTTCATTAGTCTTTTTTGCAAACTTAGCTGTTTGTGTAATGATTTTTGACCTGTATGTGTTTGTGTCACTCAATAGTATCTTTGTCAAATACTTAATGCGTAACTCGTTTAACACACTTTGTTGTTGTTTTGATTCTTTTGGCAACCCACATGTCCAATTTACTGTTTTATCTCCCATATATGTCTCCATATGACACATGCAAAAAACTCCATAGTCAACATGATTATCCCTCGTGCGCCAATTCATGTTCACCCTTTCTGGTTCAACACCCTCCAAAGTTGAAGCTGATTTATGATTGACCCTCATCAAGTACCTACTAAAAAGTATTTTCTGCAAAAAAGAAATTGTCATTTTCTATAATTATTATTTTATTTAGATTATTAGTATATTAATACTTATATTTATAATATAAATTTATTATTCTTACCAATTCATTAGGTGCATCACCATAAGCTCTAGGAAACTTTGCAACTGAATTCCTATTGTCAATGACATCAACCGCTGGTTCCTCTAAGTCTATGCAGATGATGTAAAAGTGATTTTTTTATGAACTGGGAAAAACACCTGTTTAATAATTTAAATTGTTAAACTTTGTTTAAAATATGTAATATATTCAACAAAAAGAACAGTTTATTACCAAGTGAACTTTTTCAAATGTCAGAAGTTCTTTGTCCTTTTTCATTGCATCTTTGATATTTGACTCAAATTTATCAAATTTTTCATTGAAAGGGATATATTTGTCAAATATGAACTGTCTCTACAAAAAAAAATATACATCAAACTTTAAAGAGTAAATTGTTAAATTCACAATAAGGTAAATTTTAAATTTAAAATTATTCACACTGTGAATTATAATGGGATTCACTGTGTAAATTTTATTTTCTGCAAAAAAAAAAATTAAGAGATTCATATTATGAATCTGTGTGAATGTGAGACATACATCCAAGATTCACATTATGAATTTATGCATTTAACAGCAAAAGAGTTTGAGGTTCACCAAGTTATGTACACATATACATATTGATAATTTTTACAACTATTTTGTTCACAGTGAATACAAACAAAAGTATTGATCAACTTGCAAAAAAAAAAAATTTAAAGAGATTCACATTGTGAATCTGTGTGAATGTGAGACATGGATCCAAGATTCACATTGTGAATTTATGCATTTAACAGCAAAAGAGTTTGAGGTTCACCAAGTGATGTACACATAAATATATTGAGAATTTTTACAACTATTTTGTTCATAGTGAATAGAAACAAAAGTGTTGATCAACTTGCAAAAAAAAAAATTAAGAGATTCATATTGTGAATCTGTGTGAATGTGAGACATGGATCCAAGATTCATATTGTGAATTTATGCATTTAACAACAAAAGAGTTTGAGGTTCACCAAGTGATGTACACATACACATGGTGAATTTTTACAACTATTTTGTTACTTATTCATAACTATTGAACATTTTATTTATTATATTATCAACATTAACTTACCACGATTGATGTATCAAAGAAATACCGATTCACTGTAGAATTTGATTTAAGCTTTTCTTCATAGTTTAAAATATCAGTCCAAGCATCAATGACATGTGCATGTACCCATAATCCTGCCTGCATTGTTTCAATTATTCCTCTTCCAAGCATATAACCTCTCTTAGTCTGAAATACCTTCTCACTTAATTTGTAATCAAATAAAACAAAAAAGCAGTTAATAGAAAATTAATTTGTATTTGTATTTATATACTATTGTATTTAAATAAAAGATAACATGAATTATTACCTGCTATTACCAATTCTGGAAAAAATTCTATCTGATACTTTTACTTCATCTGGATCTACAAATTTTGATGCACAAACCTCTTTTTTATTATAAGGAGAAGATAGCTTCAGTGATGGCTTTTTTAATCTTTTTCCTACTTCTCTTTTTTTGTCTTCGTCATCTTCAATTCCCAAGATACTATTGTCACATTCTGTTTCTTCTGAATCATAACTTTCTCCTTCATCAAGTTTTTCATTTTTTATTTCTTTCTTCATGGGTTCATCTTCACTGCTTTCATCTCCTTCCTGAAACTCTTGTGTTAGACCAAGACCAAGTCCAAGTGAAAAACTAGGCATTGATGATTTTCTAGTATTTTTTTATATTTTTTTTATCATATATTATTGTTTTTTTATTTTTTTGTTCTCTAAAACTTTTTACATTTTCAAAATCATGATAATCATCAAAATTTAAAATACATTGAATAGAATCAGCAATCTCATGCACTATTGGATCATTGTACAAATTTCCTGGTGTTACCATGATTGGTTGATTCTTTATTTCATGTTCATTCAAATTCTCATCGCTTTTTTCTTCATCTTCATTTTGAGTTTTATAAATGAATTCTTGTTCAAAGACTTTTTTCATATATTTCAACTCATCGCTTTCTGTGAATTTTGTTGTTGAAAACTCAATTAACTTTCCAAACTTCAGTTTATCATTCACTAGTTTTTTGTAATTCTTTGTGCGCTTTGAATACCAATTCCTGCGAAATGAGATAAAAAAAATGTCAATAAAAATGAATTTTTTTAACTTTCTTCTATAATAAATTACAGTTCCAGAATATGAATGCATTGATGAGGTATCACATTTTTAATGCATTTTAATAAATTACATATTCACTTTGTGAATTTATTATAGAGAAAGTAATAAAATACACTTTTATATTCACAATGTGAACCACTTTATGAATTTCATCTTAACTACAATTTTATAACATATATCTGTAATATAACTTAATTTTTTTTAAATATATAGATTATTAACTTACATCGAGTTTCATATCTTCATTTTCATTGGTGTCGGATTCTTCATTATTCTCTATAACATCATCATTCCATTCCAAAGTTCCAAAGTCACCACTCTTTAACTCAACTTTTTCCCTTTTCACCATCATTTCATAATCCCAAAAATATAGTGCATGTATTTGTCTTTTTTCATTCTTATCATTCCTCATAAACTCCAAATAAGCTAACTGTTTATGTAAACAAAATTATGATTAATTAGTTTTCTTATAATAATATAAATAAAAGTGTTAATTATAAGAATTTTCCTTACCAATAATACAAGAAGTGGCCCACAATAGTAGTTTCCTCTATCGGTTTCATCCCACGTCATCTTTGACATTTTCAAGCAATTGGTTATAAAACCACACCAGTCAATTTCTCTCATAGGTGTTTTGCCTAACAAATGTGGCAATATTGTTGTCTTCCAAGTTCCAGGCTTATTCTGTTTAAAGATGGTATTAACAAACAGTAATAAAAAGTTTGTTCTGAAAATAATCCCTGAATCTGATGATTCTTTAATTCTCTCTTCAACATCTGATGGTCTCATAGCCTTGAAATTGTACTGTTGCTTCCAATCCATTAATTATTTTCCTTCACATTGATCAGTGTTATATATATATATATATATATATATATATATATATATATATATATATATATATCTTTTCCACCTAGATGAATTTCAAGCAAATCATGAACAAGTTCTGGTGTTATGTCTATCTTCGCATTAGGTAGATGGATTTTCATATCTGATGGATTGAATGAATTCACAACAAAACGTGCCAATTTCCCAGAAATTCCATTGGTTGCAATTCTCAGCAAAGATCTCAATCCCATTTCTCTAACAGCCTTTTTCTATTCTTTGTTTAAAGATTTAACAATATCATAAAACTTCTTTGGGCTCATTCTTGTTCTCAAAGATACTCTGTCATTTGGATTTATTGGCACTTTTTCCTTTTTTTCTTTGACTACTTCGAAAGTCTTTGTTTTTCTTTTTCTTTTTCCTGTTAGTCAATAATTTTCATAAGCTTCTCATAATATAACATATATACTATACAATAACTAACAATACAAGAAATTCACATGTGACTTTGTTTTGCAAAATATAATATAATACATAAAATAAACATGTGAATTTGTTTATAACTTTGTAAATTTATCATGTGAATAGTAATAAACAAACCTGTTACTTTTTCATCAGATTCTTTCTTTACAAGGCTATCATCAACTTTAATAGGAGTCACGGATTTTTTGTATTCAATCATTTTAAGTCTTGGACTCTGTCTGATTTCTGTTCATGTTTTAACAAAATTAATAAGAATTAATTTTATAATATCAAATTCAATTATAATTTTATAAATACTAACCTTGAGTTGTTTTCTTTTCAGGTGTCTTGAAAACAGATTTGTCTTGCTTCATCGACTTTTTATTTTTTGTTTTTTTGTAATCTTGGACTCCGTATGATTTCTGTTCATTTAAAAAAAATAAAGATAACTGATTTTATATATTAAAGTAAATTATAATTTTATAAATACCAACCTTGTGTTGTTTTCTTTTCAAGTGTCTTCAAAACATATTCATCTTGCTTCATCAATTTTTTTGTTTGCTTTTTTTGAATCTCATCACCTTCTAAACTTTTTTCTTTTTCAACATTTTCATCAATAGTCTTTTCATCTTCATTTTTTCTTAATTTATTAACTATTTCCACCACGGTTCTCCTTGCTGTGTTTTTGGTATATTTTTTTGAACCTTCAACTACACAATGTGAAATTTTTAATATCAATGTCAAAAATATAAGTAGTATTACGAAATACATGTTAAACAATATAAAATTGAACATGTGATGATCAAATTGCAAAAACTTTTTAGAAATTCACATTGTGAATTTATGCATTTAACATCAAAACAGTTTGAGGTTCACCAAGTGATGTACACATACACATGGTGAATTTTTACAACTATTTTGTTCATAGTGAATACAAACAAAAGTGTTGATTTACTTGCAAATTTTTTTTTTAAGAGATTCATATTGTGAATCTGTGTGAATGTGAGACATACATCCAAGATTCACATTGTGAATTTATGCATTTAACATCAAAAGAGTTTGAGGTTCACAAAGTGATGTACACATACATATATTGATAATTTTTACAACTATTTTGTTCATAGTGAATACAAACAAAAGTGTTGATCAACTTGCAAAAAAAAAAATTTAAGAGATTCACATTGTGAATCTGTGTGAATGTGAGACATAGATCCAAGATTCATATTGTGAATTTATGCATTTAAGAGCAAAAAGAGTTTGAGGTTCACCAAGTGATGTACACATACATATTGAGAATTTTTACAACTATTTTGTTCATAGTGAATACAAACAAAAGCGTTGATCAACTTGCAAAAAAAAATTTAAAGAGATTCACATTGTGAATCTGTGTGAATGTGAGACATGGATCCAAGATTCACATTGTGAATTTATGCATTTAACAGCAAAAGAGTTTGAGGTTCACCAAGTGATGTACACATACACATGGTGAATTTTTACAAGTATTTTGTTCATAGTGAATACAAACAAAAGTGTTGATCAACTTGCAAAAAAAAAATTAAGAGATTCACATTGTGAATCTATGTGAATGTGAGACATACATCCAAGATTCACATTGTGAATTTATGCATTTAACAGAAAAAGAGTTTGAGGCTCACCAAGTGATGTACACATACACATATTGAGAATTTTTACAACTATTTTGTTCATAGTGAATACAAACAAAAGCGTTGATCAACTTGCAAAAAAAAAAATTTAAGAGATTCACATTGCGAAACCGTGTGAATGTGAGACATGGATCCAAGATTCACATTGTGAATTTATGCATTTAACAGCAAAAGAGTTTGAGGTTCACCAAGTGATGTACACATACACATGGTGAATTTTTACAACTATTTTGTTCATAGTGAATACAAACAAAAGTGTTGATCAACTTGCAAAAAAAATATTTTTTTTAAGAGATTCACATTGTGAATCTATGTGAATGTGAGACATACATCCAAGATTCACATTGTGAATTTATGCATTTAACAGCAAAAGAGTTTGAGGTTCACCAAGTGATGTACACATACACATGGTGAATTTTTACAACTATTTTGTTCATAGTGAATACAAACAAAAGTGTTGATCAACTTGCAAAAAAAAAATTAAGAGATTCACATTGTGAATCTATGTGAATGTGAGACATACATCCAAGATTCACATTGTGAATTTATGCATTTAACAGCAAAAGAATTTGAGGTTCACCAAGTGATGTACACATACACATGGTGAATTTTTACAACTATTTTGTTCATAGTGAATACAAACAAAAGTGTTGATCAACTTGCAAAAAAAAAAAAATTAAGAGATTCACATTGTGAATCTATGTGAATGTGAGACATACATCCAAGATTCACATTGTGAATTTATGCATTTAACAGCAAAACAGTTTGAGGTTCACCAAGTGATGTACACATACACATGGTGAATTTTTACAACTATTTTGTTCATAGTGAATACAAACAAAAGTGTTGATCAACTTGCAAAAAAAAAATTTTTTTTTAAGAGATTCACATTGTGAATCTATGTGAATGTGAGACATACATCCAAGATTCACATTGTGAATTTATGCATTTAACAGCAAAAGAGTTTGAGGTTCACCGAGTGATGTACACATACACATATTGAGAATTTTTACAACTATTTTGTTCATAGTGAATACAAACAAAAGTGTTGATCAACTTGCAAATTTTTTTTTTAATAAGTGTGTAGTATATGATTAGATAACTAGTTATTTTAATCTGAATGCGAATGTTCTAACCTTTATTTTTATCTTGAATATCTTCAATTTTTTCACTTGTAGTTGAAGGTAGAACATCTTTTAGATTTCTTGTCAATTTCATTCTTTTCTTATTATCCTTTTTTTTATTGTTCTTTTCTTCATTTCCTGTTTTTGATTAACAAATTAGTCCAAACATCAATTTCATGGTATGAAAGTTATGATTTATTCATATTTTCACAATGTGAATCAGGATTACAAATGAATTTAACATAATATTTATTCACATTGTGAATTCAGTTTGAATCAAAACATTATCAATGCAACTCTTTATAAATTTACAATGAGAAACACATTAAGAGATACAATATCAATTAAACATAGATGCATCATAAAATTTCACAAGATGAAAAAATCAAATGTAAATGATAAATCACCCTGTGAATTCACAATTTGAATAAATGATATGTTAAATTGATATATAATCATGATTCACTTTGTGAATTGTCAAATAATGTAATACTCAGAAACATTGAATCCTTTCAAAATAATCAAATGTAAAAAACAAAGCACACGGTGAATTCAAAATGTGAAATTAGTTTTTCAGTTTAATGAATAAACTCAGAAACCACTTAGATTCACAAAGTTTTTAGGAAATTACGGTTTGTAATTTAGATATTCATGATTCTGTATCGATTTGAAGAAATTTATATCATTAGGTTTTTGGTAATTATAAAAATTCTCAAAAATTCATGAAATTAGAGTTTCGATTTACTTAATAAACTCAGATTCGAGTTAGATTCACAAAGTTTTAGGAAATTTCAGTTTGTAATATAGATATTCATGATTTCTGTATCGATTTCAAGAAATTTAAATCATTAGGTTTTCGTTATGTATACAAATTATTAAAAGTTCATCATCCGAGGGTTTCAAATCAGTCTAAAACGATTTTGTTAATAAAATAGTGTATTCACAGATTCATCGAATACATAATGTAACAGATAGTTTAGATTTGTCGTTTTGAATTTTATCAATCGGAAAAATATAATGTTGAGATAATTGGAAATGAATAGCAGTCAAATATACCTTTTAGATTCATTTTGACGAACTTTTCGGGAAGATTCACTGTGGATATTGACTGAATCGTCGCCGGAGATTCGTTAGAAATCGATGTTCGTCGGTGAAGTAAAAGATCGCTTTCAATGAGAGGGTAAAATCGATTTCACTGATATGTAAAACTGATGAACTAACGTCGTTAATTAACAGTGAGAGTTAATAAGTTTTAGGTTGACGAAAATGCCCCCTTAAGTAACGTGTTTGGTTATAATCAGCTGGACACTATTGTTTTTCATACTTTTACATCTCAAATCCAATGGCTGTTAATTTTTTGATCCAACCATCTTAATAGGTTCCTTGGTTCCTCCACTCATATTGGTTCTCTATTGAACCCCTCCCTATATATATATATATATATATATATATATATATATATATATATATATATATATATATATATATATATAATAAAAAATAAAAAAAGTTTGTCAAAATAACCAACAATCTTGAATGATTATTATGACTCCACAAAAGTCATTTTTAAAGAAAATTTCAAAATCCGATAAAAATTTTGAAATTTTGAAAAACAAATAATCTTTTACTAAAATCTAATAAAAATTTAAACAAACATAATAAGGGCTTAAAATCATATATTTGATTAAAAAGGTTTATAAACACTTCAATTAATATAATATTAAGTATACACAACAACAAATCAGAACATTAGCAGCCGCAAAAGGCTTTAACGGCGACATGTTGTCACTAATGGGTCGTCATAATTGCCTTATAGCTATACTCAAATACCTTCACTATCAGTATTTCCCTGATGATCGTCCTTGCTAATATACACTCACTGTTGGTAATAGTTTTGTCAGGTTTCATTATCCCCATCGTTGTAACCATTTATTTCACAATTCAAACATAATCATATAACAACATGGTTAATTACCAACTATCAATATGGGAACCTACATGATTACTCACCTTGAAGCGTTTTACGTATTTGGAATTCTAACTTTTAAAGTCCCATTTCTGCCTAGTTTCCGTAATTCCAAAAACTATTAAAATAACACATAATTATTGAGTATTAATATAACACCCCATTTTCGTTTTCCAGTATAAACGACTAATTATGTTAAATAGAAGTTGATAGAGGACTATTTAGGATAAATAGTCTTGATGAAAATAGTAGTAGTCGTGATGACGATTTTGTATGTATAAAGAACGTCTAAATCTGACTTCGTATGAGGAAGTTACGATTTTTCGAAGTTTCAGTGCAACAATGTGCAACACATAAGTCAAAATTAAAATTGGTTGAGTGTTAGCCAAAATAATGTAAACGAAAGTTGAAGATCCCGTACAATTTCGTCAATACAGAGAACGTCAAGAACGGAGTTCATACAAGGAAGTTATGAATTTTTATGACACATGGTTCCTGGTACGTATTTAAATTCAAGTAACTTCATGTTTTGCTCTGGGACTCGGCGAGTTGGAGGCCCAACTCGTCGAGTAGACTCGACATTTGATCGGGGGGTTAAGTGACCTACTCGACGAGTCGGG